CAATACCATCTAATACCCAGTCCATATTCAAATTTTCTAAAGTATCCTCAAAATTTCTTTTATAGCTTTTTCAAACTAAGACCCAATCAAGATTTACCCATTGCATTTATTGTTGTCTTTTGGTCTTTTGTCTCTTGATCTAGAAGTACCCCACTGTGTGTGTGTGTGTGTGTGTGTGTGTGTGTAAGCATGTGTGGTGGGAAGGGGCAGAGGGAGAGGGAGAATCTTAAGAAGCCTCCCAGCTAGCGTAGAGCCTGACACAGGACTCCATCTCACAACCTCAGATCATGACCTGAGCCAAAATCAATAGTCAGAAGCTTAATCAACTGAGCCACCCAAGCGTCCTTCCCCCCCTCTTTTTAACGACACTGACCTTTTGAAGAATTTAGGCATTTTCTTATAGAATATTTCATATTCTGGATCAGAATCTTCCCTCAGGGTCATTTTCTCTGTTCCTCTATCTCTAGTTCCTATAGATAGAAATTTGGATCAAAAGTCTTGATTATATTTAGGTTAAGCATTTTGGGCAGAGTTCTTTCATTGGGGATGATGTTGCATCAAATCAAAAGGCCTACAAATCAGATTGTTCACTATTAGCGGTGCTAAGTGTGATCACTAGGTTAATTATAATTAAGTAATCTGTGGGGTGATACCGTGACACTGCAAACATCCCCTTTTCCCTACTTCCTTTTAAAGACAGGTTCTAGCATCTATTGATCATCTTTGCCTCAATTATTAGGGACTGCACAGATATTTCTTTAAAAAATTTTTTTTTAAGATTTTATTTATTTATTTGACAGACAGAGATTACAAGTAGGCAGAGAGGCAGGGAGAGAGAGAGGAGGAAGCAGGCTCCCTGCTGAGCAGAGAGTCCGATGTGGGGCTCGATCCCAGCACTCTGAGATCATGACCTGAGCCGAATGCAGAGGCTTTAACCCACTGAGCCACCCAGGCGCCCCTGCACAGATATTTCTAATTGTATTAGTCCATCTGTAGGTACTGGCTGGCATTCTCCTACAAAGAAAAAAAAAAAAACCCCTTCCCTCACCCTTGATTCCGAGTATCACTCTAGACTTAGGAACTTTTTTTTTTTTAAAAGATTTTATTTATTTATTTATTCGACAGAGAGAGATCACAAGTAGGCAGAGAGGCAGGCAGAGAGAGTGAGAGGGAAGCAGGCTCCCCGCTGAGCAGAGAGCCCAACGCAGGACTCGATCCCAGGACCCTGAGATCATGGTCTGAGCAGAAGGCAGCGGCTTAACCCACTGAGTCACCCAGGCGCCCCTAGACTTAGGAACTTTAAAAATGTATTCAATGCTTTGCTCATCTATCATAGTCATTATTCTGTTCAGCCCAGCTTGACTCACATTTGGCCAGAGGAGTCAAACTTGATTCTGTGACCCTTCACTTAATCCTATAGTTTTGGGGTACTTCCTTGCTTTCTGGCAAGGTAATCTAGGCTCACCTTTGTACTTTTGTATTTTCTGGGCCTCAGACCTGAAAACAACCATTTCTCCAAGAAATGCGGTTTCTTTTGTGGAGAAAGGGATCTAGATATCAAGATATGGGGACCCTCCATTGGGAGAAATTATATATATTCTTCTAAGAAATAGACACAAATAAACTCTAATTCAAATTTAACATCAGATGCCTTCCCCCTAAACCTTCTTTTATTTTATATTTTCATTTCTTTTCTCCTAGATTTCTAACATGTATTATTCACTTTATAGTAGACCTAAAAAGTTTCAAAGTTGCATTGCCAATAGTACTATTAGAATAAATCTGTGACATCTGAGATTTTTTGTTGTTGTTGTTCTTTTTGCCCTCAGAGTATATCCCACTAAGAATACACATAAGACTATTATTAAACACCATTTCCAAATATGTCTAAAGAACTTTGAATGACTGCCATTTCTGATCCCTGTAAAGCCTTAGGTTATAATCTTTTTCAAACTGAAGGAATCCTGCTTTCTCTTTTTGGTGGTATGTTTTCAGTTCTTTATTGGTACATGTAAAACACAGGAATAGCTGAAAATGCACATCCTGAGACAAGCAAGGCGGTGCAAATAAAAGTGGACAAGCCAGACTGCTATGACTGATAAGCACCTGCACTGGACAGCATCCATTTAAGGGTGTTTTTCTGTCACCTTTAAATGAATGATGACACCCAAGAATCACCTCAGGGTATATTTTCAATCCACTGTGTGCAAAAACACTCAATAAGTACAAAAAGCCAGTAGCTTGCCCTGCGGCAACTCTCCATGCAAACATTCAAAACACCTATTATGACTAAAGAGGGCAAAGGTACAAGCAGTTATTATGATGATACACACATCTCTAATTCATCATCTTAGGCATTTGTCAAGATTGCAAAAAATGTGGGCAAATCTGGTTCTACTTTTAGTCAGGAGGGAAGGCAATAAAAGCTAAACTAGATAAAGAATGTAATCTCTTGGAGCTCCTGGGTGGCTTCATCATTTGAGCGACTGGCTCTTGATTTTGGCTCAAGTCATGGTCTCACGGTGTTGGGATCAAGCCCTGAGTCAGGTCCCACACTCAGTGGAGTCAGCTTGTCCCTCTCCCTCTGGTCTTCCCTCCCTGCCCCACCTCTATACGCATTCTCACTCTCTCTTAAATAAATAAATCTTAAAAAAAAAAATAGAACGCAATCTGTCACTTAACCAATAATTGTTGCATACTCTTGTACTCTGCAGTGGGTTGGCACATTTCCAAAGGCAGCTGCTATATTTTAATTTTCTTTAGTAATGAAAGGCAATAGCTGTATATACTAATGACAATTAGGAGTCTTCGAATGTTATTTACCTACTAGGTTTCAATAAAATAAATACCAGGTTTTAAAACTAGAGGTTTTTAGGGCGCCTGGGTGGCTCAGTGGGTTAAAGCCTCTGCCTTCGGCTCAGGTCATGATCCCAGGGTCCTGGGATCGAGCCCCGCATCGGGCTCTCTGCTCAGCGGGGAGCCTGCTTCCCCCTCTCTCTGTCTCTGCCTATCTCTCTGCCTACTTGTGATCTCTGTCTATGAAATAAATAAATTTAATAAAAAAAATAAATAAAATAAAACTAGAGGTTTTAGATACTGCTCTTTTTGAAGAATAAGCATGATCAAATTTGAATGAGAACATTTTAAGAAAAATTAGACACAGATTTTCACACTTCAGTGAAGGTGGTAAGTCTGAACATTTATTTGAAGTATCGCTCTTAGTCAAAGTTTATACTTGCTCCAATTTTGTCTCTAATAGCTTTTGAACCACTGTGAAATTAAATGAGTACATGTAACGCGCTTAGAATGTCATCTGGCATATACAGCTGTTATTTCTTTATGAGAATTAAAATTAAAACTATATTGTTTTTTCCCCACCAAATACAATCCATGTTGTACAGAGGAGTTAGAGATTAAAAGCAATCCTGAAAACAAAAGCTATCAAGATGTTATAGAAATCCATACATGAGCTTATAATAAATACTTCCTCTCTGTCTGGAGGTGGTTCATTAAGAGTTCTCCTATTTGAGGGGTGCCTGGCTGGCTCAGTCGGAAGAGCATGCAATTCTTGATCTCAGGGTTGTGACTTCAGCCCCACACTGGGTGTAAAGATTACTGAAATAAATAAAAAAAGAGTTCCCTTAATTCAAAGATTTTTACACAACTGCAAAATATACCTTATATTCAAGGAAGATCTTCCTGGCATTAGTTCTTTAAATACACAATTACAATAAGTGCAGTTTTAAAAAACTACATTATATTTTGAACAAACTTCTACCATGTTAAGGAAGCACATCCTTTCTGGTCTGTTTTGCCTCTTAATTCTAGCTACACACTGCTGCCCTCTGCAGCATTTCAGTTCTTCCAAATTGCCACCCCAATTATCACAAACCTAATCTAGTTTCCATCTCGATAGGTTATCTGACTCAATGAGAGGGATATGTCTGTGTATTTAGAGAAGGGAAGGTCCCTTCAAAAAAGCAAGAGGGCATCAGAGAAAGATGTCAGTCCAAAAGAGCCCATCTGAAAGGAGGGCCTTCTTAGGGGTCCAGCAACATACCCCAACCCCCTAAAGAAGGTTCTTTCCAGGCATTCGTGTAGCCTCTTTGTGTCACAGGATCTTATATTTTTAATTGGAAAAAATGATATACGTGTGGAAAAATTTAGAAAGAGTAAACAGTGAAAAATATAACCAGTGAAAACATTTGGCTTCTATTCCAAATCTCTAGATAGGTTTATGCAGCTGCCCAGAGTATATTACAAACATACATTTCTTTTTAAACAAAGTATTCACATCACTCTGATTATCGTTTAAGACAAAATAACCTGAAAATGGTTCCCTATCAGGCGAGATTAACCTATATAATTTACGTTATTAAAACCAAGCAGGGTCTAACAAAATAGGTTTTAAATAAATCAACCTTCGCTCCAACAGGTTCTGCCACAATTTAATTACCTTTTTATTGCTACTAAGTCTTCTCTTACTATATAAAGCGATGGCTCTAAAACTTGAGCAGATATTGGTATCACCTGAGGCGCGTGTTAAAACAGGCTGCTGAGCCACCTCGAGTTTCTGAGTCAGGAGGTCTGGAGTGGGGGCTGAGAATCTGCACTTTTAGTAAGTTACCACGCGATGGTGATACAGGAGTTGTGGGAACCACATTTTGGGAACCAACCACTAGTATGCTCGCTGCTTTAAACTCCGTTCCTCCCACCTCCCAGCACCGCTAGTCTTAGAAAGAAAACGCGGTTACTCCGCTGGGAACTTCACGAAAAGCCCAACAACACCCACTCCTAAAGACGTCAAAGACTGGGCACTCGGCCGAAATCGGGATAACACAAACCTACACCCAGCGCCTGGCGCAACCTAGCTACGCCATTTCCTTTCTATGAAGCTCCGCCCACTCCGCGTCCCTAACGCAAGGATGGGTCGCGCAGAGAAAGCTAGGAATCACGTGGTAGGGCGACGTCTCGCGAGGCTTTTAACCTCTCGCGAGACTTGACCAGCTTCTGTCTTTTCCTCCTTCCAGTGCCCGGCTTTCTTCCCCTCCCCCCCCATCGCCGGCCAAGTTCTCCCATTTCGGACAGAGTCGCCTTGTTGTTACCGAGGAGATTTTTCCTACTGTAGCTGCTGCCGCTGTTGCCGCCGCCACTACTGGGCTCATTTGCCCCGACCCCTTCCTGTCGCCCTGCCCCCAGCCCCACACAAGGTAACGAAGCCGGCGAGGGCGAGAGCAGGGCCTCGGGGCCTCGGCCTCTCCCTAGTTGAAGCCGAGGCCTGCGGCCGAGGATCCGGCCGCGTTGGAGAGGCCTGGGCGCCGGCAAGAGTCTTAGGGGCCCGGCCTCTTTCTGCCACCCAGAGCTGGGCCCTGAGTGGCCGCGAACGGGGCCAGGACCTCCGTACGGCGGCGACGACCGGGGCTAACCCGGGAAACCGGTCGGGTGTGGTAGGGATGGGGAGGCCTCTTGAGGAAGCCTCAGCGGTTCCCTGCGGAGCGCGTTTGGGGGTGTGAGGCTCCGGCGCTGCTGGGGTCCGCTCCGTTTGTTTGCCGTTTCTCTGGAGCTTGTGTTTGAATTTCGAGGTCTGGTTGTGGCGGGCTTTGAGGTGTTGGGTGCCTGGCTTACTCTAGCCCCTTTGGAGCCCTTCCAAATTCCAGGCTGTGGTTGGACGGGAATTTTAAGACAGAGAAGGGTCCTCGGAAACCCCACGTGTTGTCTTTACAAACCGAGAAAGGATTCTTTTATCTTATTTTCCGGAAAAGAATGAGCCAGATTGGGTGAAAGGCACGCTCCTTAGAATGCCTAAACGGGCTAGTGTTTCCGCCGTTTTCTTTAATGAAGACACTGCATCGGCAATATTTTAAGTGACCGGGTGAAACGTTTTTGCTCTGGAGAAGAGCTTCTGAACACATTTAACCAATTAATAGTTCATGTAGAGAGTATTATCTATGTAGTTAGTCCAAAAGTCATTTATATTTTGTTTTGGAAGTCTGCTTTAGGGTTTAGAAATATTTTCTTCTTAAATCTCTATTTTTCCATCAGATTAGTGCTTTTTAAAACTTTTTCCCGGCGAAGATGTAACCACCTTGTTAATTGAACCAAATACAGTGTCTTCCCTGTTACAGGAGTTTAAAGAAGATTAGAAATTCTCCTTTTTCCTTTTGCCTTAGCTGTTGTCCGATAAATTCCACACAGAAACAAAAACAAGTTTATAATCTGCGGAATCCATTCCCTTGAAGCTTGGATTTGACTCACAGCTTTCCTCAGAACTAAGAGTAAAGGTAATGGTAATAAGTTAAGCTGCAGCAATGAATTATATTAAGGAGTTGGGAGCAAAACTGGTAAGGATTAAGTCAGGCAGACAGGGAAATTATTTTTTTTATGGTGTTTTTGGTTGTTTTCCTGGTCTTACCCTTTTTATTTTCCCCCAGATGTCAGAGGATCTAGCAAAGCAGCTGGCAAGCTACAAAGCTCAACTCCAGCAAGTCGAAGCTGCGTTGTCCGGAAACGGAGAAAATGAAGATTTGCTAAAATTAAAGAAAGATTTACAAGTAAGTATAAGAGGACACTAATAGTTACATTGCTTGGAAAAAGTATTTCTCTGTTTTTCAAATGATTTATTGCTTAGAATCCAAAGCACCATTTGGAGGGGAGTGTTTCTTCTCCTTTCCTCCCATGTGTGTGCATGTGTACGTGCACATGCATGTGTATGTGCACAGGGCGCATGGCTCGCAGTGGTAGGGTTGCTTCCTCAGTCGTATGCATCAGAATGAGTAAAGCATTGTTCTTATGTAAATCTTGTATGTTCACACAATTTTTAAAAATATTTGAATTAAGAAGTCTGTGTCAAACCTAGAGAAGAGGTACATATAATTTTACAGTGGAGAGTACTTTTATTTTTAAAGATCTGGCAAAGGAAATCTGAGAAGTAGCTAAAAAAAAACACATGGAATTAAATATTACCTCTACTGGTATTAGAAAAAACAAATGTAGAAGCATTTTATAAATGATAAAAACAATGAGAGAAATATAACCTGATTAAGAGTCTTTTTAATGTCACAAGGTTCTTTGAAAATCAGAGAGAGAGAGAGAGAGAGAGAATGTGTGTGTGTGTTTCAAAGCTAGCAGGTAAACACCTTGTATTAAAAACACATAAAGATATCTAAAGAGATACTTGTTTTCTGCATAAATGTTACGTAATATTTGAATTTAAGGCTAGATTTTACATTGTAGTTGTTGACACTTGTTGAAGTTAAATTGAATGGGTGTGGAAAGATCTTAATTTGTTTTGTCATGGGAAAGTTCAGTAGGTATGAAACTTGCCTTTTTAAAACCTGCACTTGGGGTTTCAAAACAAGCATAAAACCATATAGTACATGTCTGTTGCTTCTCAGAACCCGAGGTTGATTAATAAAAATATTGTATGTCTATACATCTGTATCACTTCATTTTAATAAATTTGAGAACTTAAAATTTTGAACCTGATTTTTTGAAAGTTTTAAAATGTGTTTTGATTTGGTGACTTTTCTTTACTGATTCAGTACAAAACTAGAATCATCTTTATCTAAATCCTTTCCCTCCCTTTATCATCCTCTTGCCCAATAAAATTAATATTTTAGAGTTATTAGAACTGCAAATAAATGAGACTTATTTGAAATAGGATCCAGATACAGGACTTTGAAAGAGTTTATCTGGGCATAATTAAAATGAGTTGAGTATTTTCAGGTTCAAATTGTGCAATTAGGATAAACTTGCCTGAAATTGCAATAGTATGTAATTGTTGAAAACACAGAAAACCAGGACCCCTCTTCAGTATGTAGAAGTCAGGCCAGTGAATTTGAGAGTGCTAGCCAATACTAGAAAGATGTTTGGGGAGCAATTTCTCCCACTCCCAGACCAATTTTCTGTTTACCTCAAAGAGAAATTCTGGCATGCATCTTCCACTAGCTTAAAAGCAGTCCTTTTTTTCTTTGAGGAAAATAAAACATTGTTGGTATTATGTATATTGCTTCCTGGGCAGTTGGACGAAGGATATGTATGGAACTGGTAGAGGGGAAGTTGGGAGTGAAGGTTGAAACATTGTGAGGGTGGGTTTTTTTTTTTTTTAATATTTCTAGAATAAACTGTCAAGAGTCTAGGCAGAATTGCCTTACTGTGACATGATCTTTAGTGGAACTATTGTAGGGAGAGAGACTAATGGTAGGCATTGTAGTAAGCACATAAATGTCCTTCTTAGGGTTCCATGAATAATGACCTGGTGGTCATTGATCTGTGAAGTATCATCTTTTCTACAACCATTGAGAACAGCACTGTCCAGTAGAACTTGTTGTGATGAAAATGTTTTATATTTACTGTGTTGTACTGTAGCTAGTAGGGACTACTGAATATTTGAAATATGGCTGGGGTAGCTGAAGAACTGAATTTTTAATTTTTTTAAGTAGTCACTTGTGACTACCATATTGGATAGCACAGATTTAGAAGCTAAATTCTGAAACTTCAGATAATAATACAGAATGTTTTTCCTGGCCAATCTTGATCACAGTTTCTTTTCCTCTTATTTCGTCATGAGAACAAACTTTTCACGTCTGTTTGCTAGATACAGGTCTATTTTGAGCTGAAAATTACTCAAAGATAGAAGGCATCACTAAAGATTAAATAACGTTTTGAAAAGTATTTGGATATCTGCTTCCATCTACTGATTGTTGTCTCCATTGATTACAGTTACAGCTTCTGTTTTATCATGGATTTTTAAAAAATATTTTTCCGTTTTATCTTTTCTCTGTTTTCTGGGATATATACCTCATGCCTTTGATATTTAATTCTGCCATTTATATTTGCTGAATACTTGTTCAGACTGATGACTGCATTTGTGGCCTCCTTTGTTTTGTGTTCCTTTAGTGGAATGTCTTTACCCTGGTTATGAATTTGTTTGCCCTTTCATTTATAACAAAATGCTTTTCTCCATTTTTTCAGTGACTTCATTTTGCCAGTAAGGCGTCTGTTATTTTTTTATGTACTGTCTTTCATATAGAATAAAGCTAACACAGCAGGCAGCACATTAATCTACTGAAGTCCTAATTGCCTTTTTTCACTTAAAAAAGTGGATATAGTAAGATCTAGGCTAGCTACCTGACTAGCTCCCCAGGCAGTCTGTGATAATCACAAAAATAGTCAATTTATTAGGCTGTTTTGCTGAATAAACTGGTTCTAAAGGAGGCAGGGGTCAAGTCACTTGTCTCATATATTACAGTGGCTCTCTGCATCCCCGAAACGCCTTCCTTCAGTAAGCAGAGTGCTTGAGTGCACCCTTTGACCTGCTGATATGTAGATCACAACATCTGATGCTCCTGGAATTGCCGATTACTGTAACTGCTGCCCATCTGTCGATGAAGGAGCAGTTTCAGAACTCAGACTTGGGGGAGGAAAAGTAATTAATGGTATGTACCTTTAAGAACCCCCTCATACATAAAATAGTTTCTCTAATACTTTGGTCCGTATGCACATGTAAAGAAAACATTGAGAAGGGTCTTCATAGTTCGTTGGGAGGGGTTTGTGAAACATGGCAAAATGAAAGGACTCTTAGAGATAAATGCTTTCAGTTTTTTAAAAGTGTCGCTTCAGTGCAGGCCTCTGAAAATAGTAACATGCACAGCTTTTCAGGACCCTTTGGTTAAAAATGTATTTCCTTATGAATATAAAATGGCAAGATGCTCTATGCTAAGAAAGGTAGAGTTTTAAATCTGAGATCTACAAATACAGAAATCATGTTTGTGCTTTAGTTAAATGTTTAATGATAGGGTTTATATGGCCTCTTGTCAGGCTTACTAGATTATATTCTTGGCCCTAATAGTGGTTGACTAAAAACAAGACTGGATAATTTACTCTCCTTCTTTGTATAGTACATGATCTATTTATGCGGAAGTTCCTTGCTTTATTGCAAAGGATTGTCTAATAAAAAGATATTTAAGTGGCTCTTTGGCCCTAATAAAATCTCATTAAAGATACTACTCTACTGAGTTTTTAACTCAAATCTGAGTTAGTCTAGTTTTTTAGTTTTTTAATTCACAAAAATGGCCTTTCTCCCAAGGGCTTATTAATAATTCCTCTTTCTTTCTTTTTTTTTTTTTTTTTGAAGGCTCAAATATTAGTTTTTCAAAAATAGTCATGAAGATCTAGAATCTTTAGGAGAAAGCTAATATGTAATTTCTTGGTTACTGAACCAAAACTACCATTATGAAACTTCAATGGGAGCCATAAGAAACTCAGTATAGAGTTTAACTTTGCTACATTTTCTCCCAAAACACAGTGTGATGTATTAAGGTATTTTATATGCAACTGTGGGGGCAGGTGTGCAAGTTTTTAAAATAAATCAGATACAGAGCTGCATTACATAGGTCTTCATCAGAGTAAAATATAGTAGATAGCACAGTCTTATCAATTGATGCAATTAAAGTTTTTTAACCAACCCTACCAAACACCCTTGAACGAAGCCAGTAAGTATAAGCCTGAAATAGAAAAAGTACTTGCCACACAGGAAGGTATTGCCTACCTGTGTGTTACATTTATTTTATTTTTCCCTCCAAAATGAAGCTGTGCTAATGTGCTTTATAGAATATTTTAAATCTAACCTGGTAATTTACTTACATAGATGGGGGGGTAAGTTTTACAATTAATGAATAGGAAGACTACTGGCTTTTTATATGTGCCTATAGAATTTTAGTATAAATATGTATGAGCAGGAACATTTTTATTACTAATAAGGCTGCTTCAAGAGGTTTGGGTTTTTTTTTGGTTTGTTTTTTTTTTTGGACAGGGGTGGGGAAGAACATGTTGGCTAGAGAGTTAATACTAATGCCCTGTAAAACAGTCCAGGTGTGTGAAATATATGTGACAAGATAGGAGAAAAAAGTTATCTTGAGCCTAGTTGAGTCCTTCATAATTGACTATTTCTCATATTAGATCTATGTAGCTAAAATAGGCACTTAGAAATACTACATGGTAGGGGTGCCTTGATGGCTCAGTCAGTAGAGCAGGTGACTCCTGATATCAGAGCTGGGTGTTCAAGCCCCACATTGGGTGGGGCTTTTTTCTCTTGAAAAAAGAAATAATGCATGGTATAAGCCCAGGTCTACCCTTTTTTGTTAGTATTTGAGGTTAATAAGTTGAAAGGCAACTGTATGGGTTTAAATCCTAGTTCCACCACTACACTATATAAAATATTGTATCTTAGTTTCTCTGTGAGGATAATCATAGTACCTATATCATAGTATTGTTAATGAATTACAAATAAAAATGTTTAGTGTACTTAATAAATGGTATATGGTGTGAGAGCTATTGTCATCAAAAACTGAAAACCTGTTGAAAGTAGGCAATAAGTGAATTATAAAAGTAATATTACGGTTTTTGTTTTTTCTTCTTAGGAAGTTATAGAACTAACCAAAGACCTTCTGTCAACTCAACCTTCTGAAACTCTTGCAAGTTCAGACAGTTTTGCTTCTACTCAGCCCACTCATTCATGGAAAGTAGGAGACAAGTGTATGGCAATCTGGAGTGAAGATGGACAGTAAGTGTAGAAAAAAACTCTAACTATAACATGAAATAATAAAACACAATGGTAAGAAGTTTTTATTCAGTTTGAACTACACTGTTTTAATCTTCTATGTAGCCAATATGATTTGTAGAGCCAATTTGATTCTTGGAAGGTTACCACTGATACAGTTTAGTTTTTAGCTTTAGATTACATTTTGGGGCAGTTGAAGGGCTTGGATCCTAGACGAGAGAAAAATCAAAGCAGAGGAAAATGAATGGATAGCTTAAATAATCTTAATTTTTTCCTCAAATTGAAAATTTAGTGAATGGTTGGCTATCTTAGACTTAGGTGAAACATATACACTTAAATTATTCATATAAAAATATCTTTTCTCAAAGAGACCGACTAAAGCACATTTAAAAGACCTATAAGGACTTTCTTGACAATATTTTGATTAGGATCCCTTTTTTTCATAGTAGATGGCTAATTCCAACCACTCTTTTATATTACCTTTACTAAAGAGCCAACTGATGACAGACGTTCCGTTTAAGACACAGTAATAGTTGAAACACTACAGTGTAAGTCTTATAGGCTGAGTACTAAACCTTTACTCACCTGCTTACAGTCATGATATCTTTACAGGTGTTACGAAGCGGAGATCGAGGAGATAGATGAAGAAAACGGCACTGCTGCAATCACCTTTGCTGGCTACGGCAATGCTGAAGTGACCCCACTGTTGAACCTCAAGCCTGTAGAAGAAGGAAGGAAGGCAAAGGAGGACAGTGGCAACAAACCCATGTCAAAGTAAGTGGTTTTGACTTTAGCAGTTTAAGTATAGTCTTCCCCACTTTGATAGTTGAGGTAGAATCCATGCAGGCTAGGTTGAGGTAAAAAGGTTATAATACTCTTTGCCATTATTTTGAAGATTAGCAGTATAGCGTCAACTTTGTCTGTCTGTGTATGCCTAGGCCCACTTAGGCATACAGTGTATTTATTAAGAGGATACTATGTACCTCTTATTAAGCCAGGTGTTGGGTTTCTACCACAGTGAAGACTCCAGCTTGGGCCTTGTCCTGATTGAGTTTATAGGCTAGAGAACAAAACATAAAATTAAAGGAGAACTTTAATAATTAAGTATAGAAGTTATGAAGGGGGAACATAATGGGTACTTTAAGGGAGCAAAAATACCTAAACTGCACTTCAGTCATCAGAGTAAATGTCTGAGAAAATGACATCTAAACTGAAATTTGGGGGCATGTGGGTGGCTCAGTTGGTGAAGCGGCTGCCTTCAGCTCAGGTCATGATCTCAGGGTCCTGGGATTGAACCCTGCCTTGGTCTCCCTGCTCAGGGAGAAGCCTGCTTCTCCCTCTGCCACTCCCCCTGCTGGGTGTGTGTGTGTGTTTGTGTGTGTGTGTGTGTGTGTGCGTGTTCATATATATATATATATCAAATCTTAAAAAATTTTTTTTAACGGAGATTTGAAAAGGAGTTAGCCAGGTGACGAATGAACTTAAAGATATGACTTTGGGCAAACTGCTTAACTTCTTTCCTTATTTGTAAAACAGGGTTGATAATATCTATGTTGTAGGGTTATAAGGATTAAGTTAGCATTTATAAAGCATGTAGCACAGTTCTTGACATGGAATAAGAGTTCAGTAAATGTTTTTAAAAAAACTTTCAGGGGTGCCTGGGTGGCTCAGTCAGTTAAGCATCAGCCTTCAGCTCAGGTCATGATCCCAGGGTCCTGGGATCAAGCCCCACATTGGGCTCCCTGCTCAGAGGGGAGTCTGCTTCTCCCTCTCCCCCTGCTTGTGCTCTTTGTCTCTCTGTCAAATAAATAAATCTTTAAAAAAGAAAAAACTTTTCAGAAAACTTTTAAAAAAAAGAAAACAAGATTAGAACATGGGGGTAACAGAAACAAATTCCTGTGGTAATAACACTTGGGGCTTAAAAGTGGGTGGTTTGACAAGAGAGGAGGTTAGGTCAAGACCAGATTATGAGGAGCTTGACAGCCACTGATGAATTTCAAATAGAGGAGATAACCATGTGATCCTAGTTGAGCTTTCAAATAATCACTGACAGCAGAGGGAAGGAAGGCAGCTACTGACGTGATGCAGGTGTGAGGTAATGTGGCCTGAACCAGGGAGCAGCGGTAGGAGGAGAGAAGTGTATGGTTTGAATAGTATTTAAGAGGTAGAGTTAACAATATTATGGTTATCTTACACATATTTGCCCCAATTTTCTCTTTTTCGGATTTGTCACAAGTTTTTAAAACTTAAGTTGCTACTTAAATATATTTGAACTTGGAAAAATTATACCACCTGAGTATCCTAATGAGAATATCAGATTGTAGAACATTGTAACATCTCTGTTTTTTTTAGTCTTTGACATCGGTGTAAAAAAAAAAGCCACACCTTACTAGTGGTGATTATATGATACAGAGGCATCTAGATCATATTGCCTCTTTTTTTAAAGACCTCGTTCTTCATCCTTTTGGTGAGAAAGTCAGTATGTAAATTACTGAAAGTCAGCAGAAATTATTGAGAGAGCTTTAGGCTCTGATCCTATATCGAGGAGTGTTTTTGAAAAACCTCAGTTTTTGTTTTTAAGAATTTTAAGCTGTGATTTCCCTTTATTCTCCTGTGCTTCTCCTGTTGAGGTGAAATAGAGATTTTTTTTTTTTTTTAATTTTTAAAGATTTTACTTATTTGAGAGGGAGAGAATGAGCGAGAGAGCACAAGCAGAGGGGGTGGGAGGCAGAGAGAGAGCGGGAGAAGCAGACTCCCTGCTGAGCAGGGAGCCCAGTGCGGGGCTCCATCAGTCCTGGGATCATGACCTGATCCAAAGGCAGACGCCTAACCGACTGAGCCGTCTAGGCACCTCTGCATCTCTTTTCTAAGTGCAGCATATTAAACTTGCTAACTGTCCATTTAGAAATGGATAAAGGTTTAGACAGCTATTAATGTTAAAATTCATTTCTAAATGTACTTGACAAAAGCAGTGTAAACATCAAAAAGTCATAGTTTAAATATTTGATTTGAGGGGATGCCTGGGTGGCTCAGTCAATTGAGCAAACGATTCTTGATTTTGGCTCAGGTCATGATCTTGGGGTCCTGGGATCAAATCCCAAGTCAGGCTCCGCACATTCAGCGCAGTCTGCTTCTCTCTCCCCCTTGGCTCCTCCCCCCAACTTGCACATGCTCACTTGCTTTCTCTGTAAATAAATAAAATATTTAAAAAATGTATTTGAGGGACGCCTGGGTGGCTCAGTTGGTTAAGCGGCTGCCTTCGGCTCGGGTCATGATCCCGGAGTCCTGGGATCGAGTCCCACATCGGGCTTCTTGCTCAGCAGGGAGCCTGCTTCTCGCTCTGCCTCTGCCTGCCACTCTATCTGCCTGTGCTCACACTCTCTCTCTCTCTCTGACAAATAAATAAAATCTTAAAAAAAAAATGTATTTGAGTAGGTAGTAGATTACAGATATGGTTTGAAAGCTTCCAGGAATACTGTGTATTTCAGATAACATTTCTTAGTTTGTACTGGGTGATTGGTGGTGTTGGTATTAGTGCTTCTGTTCATGTAATGTGTAAGTTTATTATGGATATTTTTGGGTTTTTTTGTTTGTTTGTTTTTTGGTACTGCTAAATATCTCTAAGGAAATCATCTGTTAAATCTTAAGAGTTGACATTAAGCGTTATATCCACACAGAAAAGAAATGATTGCCCAGCAGCGTGAATATAAAAAGAAGAAAGCTTTGAAAAAAGCACAGAGAATAAAAGAACTTGAGCAGGAAAGAGAGGACCAGAAGGTTAAATGGCAACAGTTCAACAACAGAGCCTATTCTAAAAACAAAAAAGGCCAGGTTAGTATATCCTTTCATCGTACTTCATACCTTTGAAAAGTGTCATTGTCAGTAAAATAACTTTAAAATGAAAAAGGACGGGGCGCCTGGGTGGCTCAGTGGGTTGAAGCCTCTGCCTTCGGCTCAGGTCATGATTCCAGGATCCTGGGATCGAGCCCCGCATCGGGCTCTCTGCTCGGCAGAGAGCCTGCTTCCTCCTCTCTCTCTCTCTCTCTCTGCTTCTCTGCCTATTTGTGATCTCTGTCTGTCAAAATAAATCAATAAAATCTTTAAAAAAAAAAAAAGGAGATACATAGGTTTAAAGAAATACATAACTGGATCTTGAATTCAAAATCCTCTTTAATCTTCTGTTTGCCCTATTGCACAGTATCTCCATTAGCCACTGTCTCTCTGCAGTAGAAACACTATGGATGAGAGAGATTATATCAGAAATTACAAAAGATCTAGATTGTTTACCCTTCTGTAAACTAAAGTTTGAGAAACTGTTTGCTACCTTACATTCCACTTAGAGGGAGTATGATGAACCCTGCCTGCCGCGTTAACGTGCTTGTATGCTGGGCATCGCTGGTAGGTTTTATTTGAAAGAGCGCTCCGGTTCCCTTTATGTGTACTCTACTTCTTAAGTGTATTTTGGAAGTGTTTTCCCCCCAAAATTAATCAGGATGGTTTCTGTTTCATTTCCACTAGGTAAAAAGGAGTATTTTTGCTTCTCCTGAGAGTGTAACCGGAAAAGTTGGAGTAGGAACTTGCGGAATTGCTGATAAACCTATGACACAGTATCAAGATACCTCTAAATACAACGTCAGGCATTTGATGCCACAATAGTCAGAAAAACTGTGGGATTTCATCTCTGCAGGGCTTACATTTACCTTTTTATCCTTATATTTTTCTAAAGGTAAATTATTTGTTAGATGAGTAAGGAAGATACCATTGTCGTCCTTGTTTGACTTCAATAGAATGAAACTTGAAGAAATTGCATTTGATAACTGCTATTCATTAACTTCTCGTTACTACTACCAGTTTCCTCCAAGTTTGTTGAATAAAGCAACTTTTCTAGATAGATGCTGCATAAATACAGCACTTAGATGAATTGTTGATTCTCCAAATATCAGGCCCTTACGTAATGGATGGTGTGTACTTTTTGTAAAGTCCTAACCTGGAATTTTCAGATGCTTTGAACTTGCCACACACTGTAGTAATTCACTGGAACAGCAAGGCAAAATACCAACCTAAAGAGATCTTTTTTTTTTTCCTTCAACTTGAACCGAGCTGTTGCTAATGAAGCCTAAAAGTAGGTTAATTTGATTAAAATGTCACACTTTGAGTTTTTTTCTTCAATAATTTGTTTCCTAAGCTTATTAGGCTATCTCTAAAATTGATCCAGCTCTTAAAACTTTTTCATTGAGTTTTAATTTCATGTAAGAACCATGTTTAGGACCAGCTTCCTTTTCTAAGGGCTTTTTGTTGTTTTCTGTTTTTGTTTTTGGTTTCTTTTTCCTCCTCCTCCTCCTTCTTCTTCTTTTTTTTTTTTTTTTTAATGTTTACGCTTTTCCTGTGTTGATCTTTCCCTTATGGTAGTAGTACCATTTTTTGGATGTGTAATGTTTATATAAGAAAACAAAAAGCTGATGTATAGCCCTGTATACAGTGTAGATACTATTTTTGTAAAAAAAAAAAAAAAAAAAAACCCACCCAAGGCTAAATTAATGAACAAGAGTACCGAATGTTTCATCATTAAAAGTTTATTGTATTTCTTATGCATTAATTTCACCAGAATTTCCCTGTATATTATGTTCATGTAGAGGAGTTTGCAATTTTTGTTAACTAGATCAAGTTGTCAGCATTTGTTGGTGTAAGTGAACATCACAGTATCCTGAGTTGAGTTTTAAGCCAAATATATGCATAGTAAAATGTCTTCCGATTAATGGAAGATGGTGATTTTTAGGGTATGTGTTAATTTCAGTTTTTGTATGTTTAACTTTTATTAAATAAAGTGTTTTTTAAAATCTCCGGGGTGTGTTACCAGAAGGGTGGTGAGGTCCGAGCCGGCAGCACTGCTACAGCGATCACCTTCAGTATCCTTGCTTGCATTCACTTCCACAGGCGAGAGTGTTGAGTATGGGACACAGATTGCAGTAAAGCCTTGTGTACTTCGATTTGACATGAGAAATTGGATCCTAAAGGACAAACTATTTTTATCTTAAGGGCTTGTACTGTGTATAGAGGTGTTTGTACATTTTTAGTTAAAGGAGAAAATAAAAATTTTAAGACTTTAATATTTTGGCAGATTGAAACTTAGGGAAGGGAGTACAGTGTTGAGAAGTAGAATTCTTTATCTTGTCCCTTCACCTCCCTCCCAACCCAGGAGGATCAGTTTTCCTTCCTGTAATTTATGGCCACAGGGTAGAGCATGTAGGACAGAATGAAAGGTGAAGTCTTTTTTAAATACAAGGCACAAATTAGAGCAGTAGAGGGCTACTTAGCTTGAAGAACTAAAAATATACTGTTCTTGTTACCAGTGTAACAAATCTCCTAATAATGGTATCTTTGAAGAATTGCAAGGGATCCCTTTAAAATCAAAAGCACTTGGAAAGAAACTTGGTACGATGTTTGACTACACAGGATGGGTTTTGGTGAGATCACCTTGGTACATTTGTTGGTATAGTAATTTACCTGTTATTTGTATAGGCAAGACTCTTGTGTTGAGACTTGTATCTCCTTTGACCCAAGGGCCTTCCTTTCTGCACATTAGTTTTCCTGGAGGGGCTTTGTAGGAGAGAGAAAAGGAATAATGACCATATTATATAAAACATTAAAAAAAAAAAAAAGTACAGCATGAGATCCCTAGTCTCTGTGTCAAAAGATGTAGATGTAGCCCTTTGAAAAGTGCTAGTGTCAAGATAACGATCATGTTTCTGGACTAAATGAAAAGGATCCCTGGGGGGATGGAGCACCTATCTCCTAGTGTGATGCTTTCATGAGAAGCATGATACCAGTGATATTTTACAAGGGAAGGTGGTTAAGTTCAATACTCTATAAACCAAACATGACACTTTGTGATATATAGAACACTCTGTTACAAAATTTAATGTAGTTTCCCCATCAAAAAGAAGTCTTGAAACTCTGCAACTCAGAATGAGTTCCTGACACGAGTGATATACAGCCTCCAAGTAGCTGTGGTTGCATGGATCTTCTCAAAACTTGACATTTGACTTTGTTATTGTTTCAAGAAAGAACAGGCCTCATACGCCCCCCCAATAATAAATTTTAGTAATAATAAACTTAGTATCACAGACAACAAATGCTTTTTTAATTAACATGTAGAAAGACCATACTGGAAGAGCAAGGACTCCGGAGCCAGACTGCTGTTAGAATCCTGGCCCCTCACTTTTACCTGTGTGCCTACCTCTTTTGTGTCTTAGCTTTCTTAGCTGTAGAATAAAAAAACTGGTTTCATTAGGTAGTAAAGATGAGTTAATCAGTAAAGTACTTATTAGAATACCTGAAATGGTAAACACGGTAGAAGTGTTTGCTATTTACTGTGCAAGTGGTAATGGTGACTTGCGTTTCCTTAACCTTAACAATGACAGTTCACATCATAATGCATAACAACGTCCACTGCGTATAATTCGAAGCCCATAATTATAAATGTATTACTGAACTGTCAAATTACCAAAGTGATTAAATTCAGTACGTGCTAGTAGAAGTTTAAATTTTTGTGTTAGACTATTTTACGGCATGTCTCTGATGGGAAACGAGTACAGGTTATAATAAAGTTACCCTAATACTTGCTTAAAATTAAAAGAGGGATTCCTGGATCTGGGTCCTATTCCAGGCCGAAGTATATCTGTTTTTGACAAACACCAGAGGTGATTCTGATGTGTATCCCCTGGCCTAGAACCATGTTTTAGGTTAAATACAAAAACAGTTTGACGTTTGAAATGAAGGAAAAATTACTAACGGGCAATTTCCTTAGCCCAATTATTAAAATTAGGCATCAGACCAAAATGAAATGTGTCTATCATAACTCATTATTTTAGTATGCTTTGTCACAGTAAATGTGCATGTGGGTATGTTTCCATTATAATGCAGTTTTAATGCTGAGTGTATCTGCCTTTAAAATAGCAAGGGAGGGGCGCCTGGGGGGCTCAGTGGGTTAAGTGTTCAACTTTGATTTTGGCCCAGGTCATGATCTCAGGGTTGTGAGATCGAGCCCTGTGTGGGGCTTCACACTCAGCTCGAGTCTGCTTGAGATTCTCTTTCCCTCTCCCACTGGCCCTCCCCTCTTCCTCCCACTGCTGTGCATGTGCTAACTCGCTCAAATAAATGTTAAAAAAAAAAAAAATAGAGAAAACCTTCTGGTGACAAATGAAAATCATAGTTTTATAAGTTGTGTCTGTAGGTTGTCATTATAAAAGGTGAAAAATGTCACTTGTGCAAATTTAGGCAAAAAATATTTTTGGAGCTTTGGTTTGGCTTTTTGCCTCAACTTGGACATTAACTGAAGACGAAAGAAGAAAAAAAAATCTTAAAACCAGTAAGGTTTTGTATTTGTTAAAATCTTTAGTTCAATAAATATCTGCTGGATTGTATTATTTATATTATACTATGAAACAATCAGTATAAATGGTAATTTACCTATTCAACAGTAAATGTCAACATTCTTTATATCTAGGGTTTTTGAGTTGCAAGTTAAACTGAATTTTTACTACAGTGGAGAGGAAGAACATAGCGGGCAATAGAACAGGTAATACCATAATTTAAAACACAAGTAATTGAATCCTCTTATACTATGATTTTTATGTATAGATAAGTTTTTAAATACCTTAAAAGGTGCACAGACTAATATTGGCATTCTAAGAATTTGTCCTGGCCTAGCCAACAGAAAGTAAAAAAATATGTAAGACGAAGCTGTTAGAGTTCTGTGAAGTTCTTCGATTGCCTTTTCTGCCTTCCAGCTTATATATAAATATAAAGGTGGTTCTTTTGTGGCCTTGACTGGGGTAAAGCAGATCTGGGCATACTATGGGGTTTGTGGCAGTTGACAGCTGAACTAGCTAAAATTACCAATTTTAGTTCCCAGGAAATAAAAACTGACAATTTACTTACACCTGGCACTTCACCAATTCCCTTTTATGAAACGAGCACAGACTTAAGTTACTGAAATTATTACAGCTGTCATTTGTTTTCCCAGTTACTATCTTAAGATCGCAGCTAAAGAAGCCATAGTTCCATGCATTAAGAGAAAGGTTGCTTTTTGTTTGAAGAGCTACTTTCTCAACTTGAGGCCCAAAGTCATGTTTATTATTTTGCTGGCTTATGATTTGCCTTTCTTGGTGAAAACTGATGTGCTTTTGTTTTTTCCCCTTTCAAGCCCTGTACTCACTTTAGCAAGCTGCAGTGCGTTTCTGACTAGAGAAAGAATTCAGGTTTGGAGGACACTTGACTCTCTATCCTGGGAAAACCAGAGTTGAAGCCTGAGACCTGCAGCTAGGCTAGTCTTTAATAGATGGTAACTGTCCAATTGTTCATTGCTCAGAAGTATGCAGGAAGGAGTAAGTATCCCTTCGGTTCTTTTGCCAGGTTTTTCCCTCCAAAAGCACTGTCAGGTTTAGTTGACATACCTTTCAGAGTGTGATAGAGCTGCTAGTGTAGAACCAACTGGCTTCTTAAATTTGTATTTTTAATATGCATTTTAGAGACACCTTATGGCTTTTATGTTTCTGTAATGCTGTTTGGTGCCCTGGTGTGAAAATCTGAGATAAATATCCCAGTTATTGCCCTACCAATAAAGACTTCAAGCATTCCTCTATAACAAAGAGCTAGAGTTTGAGGAAAAGGAAAAAATTTCAAAGTTACATGAAGTTAGCTGGCAGTACTTTAAAGCTTCGTCTAAGCCATTTCCCCTAATAATTTATGATGGTAGAGAAAGGTAAAACCACCAAGAAATGAGGTTGTCAGCCAGTACCTGTATCTTGAACTACACTTATTTGGAAGAATCAGATGTATTCCACAAGAAAACCAGTTTCCTCTTAGATCCAGTCCATGGGCCAAGATTTTTTTCTTGGCAAGGCCAGCATTAAATATTAACTAGGGCATTATGCAGTGGTTACTACTAGTGTTTAACAGACTGAAGCTCGGGTTAGTCTTTTTTTTTTTTTAGAAAGATCCAGGTAATCACTAAAACCGCTGATACATCAATCTTACAAAGTCTTTATTTAAAAAATTCTATAGGACATCAAAAGTGACTTCTTACAAAGTATAACCTGTCATGGAATTCTATGAAAGTGAACCATTTTATTTATTAAAATTGTCTTTTTCTGCAAGACCCAGAGTCAGAATAACTAAAATTCAATATTAAGGATGAAGAAATTAGAAGGTTGCATTCATCAGAGAAAGGAGAAGTACAAACCTTATTTTTCTTTTGGTGCTACAAACTCCTAGGTTGAATATGTGTGGGGATTTACATATGTAAGTTTTAATCCTTACAACCTTTCAAAATAGAGGTAGTATTTGTAACAACTTTTCAGGAGGAAACAGGCTCCATGAAGAAATTAACTTGCCCAGAGTCCATAGCAAATATTAGAACCAGTATTTAAATGTGACCTCAAAAACCCTGTTCTTCCCAGATTATGCTGCTGTTTGTAGGGAGTATGGAATTTTTGAGATGTAAGGATAATAAAAGAAAGGGGGAAA